GAGCAACATGTGCTGATGTGACACACACCTTTCTTATTCTCCGGAAGTGCAGCACGTTGGCGCTCGCTATGGCTCGAAAAAACCTATTGGGAACTTGAGAGATTTTCACACAGTTTTTGCAATATCTCTATCACGTTAATATTTTGTAAAGATATATAGATCAAACGTTGTGGAGAATGTCACGATCTTTCAAAAATTATCAACGATAAGGGGCTGGCTCCTATAATAAAAGGCCAAAAGGGGCCGAAATTTTTTCCTTTACATCTCAAATAGTATTGAGAATTTTTAATACGTCAAAGAAGCAAATTTGTTTAAAATATCAAGTTTTATCTAAATGTGCGTCGTCAAAATACGTCCGGTGACGTCACTTCCGGTCAAACCTGAAGTAGTCAAAAATTGCATATTTTTGCTGTTCTTGACATGTTTTTGGATATCATATGTCACTGGAAGCTTAAATCTGAATTTTCCGTCCGTCGTCTTCACTTTCCGGTCAAACCGGAAGTTGCAAAAGATGGCTTAATTTTGCAATAATTAATATAGATTTGGAGGATTAAACAATTTTGGGACTTCATTACTCTTTTTTTTTTAAGTTAAAGTTACTTCCGGTCAAACAGGACGGAAGACCTACTCGTTGCTTTGCAACGAGCTCGGCTCTAGTTCTTAGGTTTCTTTTCCACTAGATTTATTATTGTTTTTAGGTCACCTGAGTAAACTCAGGTGACCTATTGCTATCACTTTTCGTCCGTCGTCGTTCGTCGTGCGTTAACATTTGAACATTTTCAGCTTCTTCTCTGAAACCACTGAACCAATTCTAACCAAATTTGGCATATAGCATCTATGGGTGAAGGGGAACAAAAATTGTGAATTTCATGGGCCCTGCCCCCCTGGGGCCTTGGGAGTGGGGGGCAAAAACCACTAAAATTAGTGCATTCTTGAAATCTTCTTTAAATCTTCTTCTTTACTCCTGGACATCAAGCAGTCAAACTGTTTGCATGATTGTAATCAACATTGAGTCCTCTACGAAAATTGTGAAATTCATGGCCCCGGGGTCAGGGGTTCTGGTGTAAGGGTGGGGCTAAATAAGATATAATGAAATTTCATGAATTCTTTGAAAATCTTCTTCTCTGCTCCTGGATATTAAATAAACTAACTAAGTGCATAGTTATGATGAGCAAGAGTGCCTCTACCAAAATTGTGAATTTTATGGCCCCAGGGTCAGGGGTTCTGATGTTAGGGTTGGGCTCTATAGATTATATAGTGAAAATACATAAATTCTTTGAAAATCTTCTTCTCTGCTCCTGGGTATTAAATAAACTTAATAAGTGCATAATTATGATGAGCAAGAGTGCCTCCACCAAAATTGTGAATTTTATGGCCCCAGGATCAAGGGTTCTGGTGTTAGGGTAGGGCTCTATAGATTATATAGTGAAATTTCATGAATTCTTTGAAAATCTTCTTCTCTGCTCCTGGGTATTAAATAAACTAACTAAGTGCATAGTTATGATAAGCAAGAGTGCCTCTACCAAAATTGTTAATTTTATGGCCCCAGGGTCAGTGGTTCTGGTGTAAGGGGGGGGGGCTCTATATATTACAAAGTGAAAATACTTGAATTCTTTGAAAATCTTCTTCTCTGCTCCTGGGTAATAAATAAACTAAATAAGTGCATAGTTATGATGAGCAAGAGTGTCTCTACCAAAATTGTTAATTCGATGGCCCCAGGGTCAGGGGTTCTGGTGTAAGGGGGGGGAACTCTATAGATTATGGTCGTTTCTCATGAATTCTGTGGTACCCATTGATTGTGGTATTTTCTTTTCCGTCATTGCGCACGCGTAATGCACTATTCCAGAAATTTATTTTGAGAAATCGAAAGTAGATTTCCTGATGTAAACAAAGGGGCATAATTCAAAGAAAATGACGGAAAATTCGGTAAGTAATGCAAAAAATATACAAACTACGTATACATCCGTATTAGTCACTTTTGGAAAAAGTACATACCTGTTTTCCTAAAAATAGCTAAAGGGGTATGAAATAGTTGGTTAATTGATTTCAAATGAATTTCCAGATGTCGTCTGCATGATTGACTGCTTATATCAAGTGATGTTGCTAGGCATTGAATAAAGTATGGAAAGTTGCTAGCGTTAAATATCAGTGTTTTTATTTATCATAATCAGCAGCCGAATTACAAGTGCTGTAAAACTATAAAATATTCGTCCTTCAAATTAAAAAAAATATTTTTCTCTATTTTTGCATCAAGAATTCAAAGATAAATTCTATTCTAAATCCAATTTTAATTTTATAAATATGAATTTAAATGTTATTAAATTATATTTTTAAAAAAATCTTTTCAAAACGTGTAATTTATTGATAAAGTAAATCATTGAATGAAATGGTTGATTATATATCGCTTTAAAAATTATATAAAGGTATTTGCAATAAACTAAATAATTTTGGTATTTTATTTTAGAGAAAAAGATATCAGTATGATAAGGCAAACCTTCAACGTGCATATGATGCTGTTGTGTCAGAGGGAATGTCTGTTTATAAGGCCTCTAGGGTATTTTTCGTGCCAGAGCAGACTCTAAGGGACAGAGTTAAGGAAAAAGTTCCACTAACTGCTAAATTAGGTTATGATAACACTTTTACTTTCAAAGAGGAAGAAGCATTGGCACAGCATCTAATTTATATGGCTGGAATCGGATATGGCTATACAAAAATGGACATACAGAGGATGGCAAGACAGTATGCACATTCCCTTAACAAAAAACTTCACACAAAGAACGAAAATACTGACCATCTCAGTAATAATTGGTTTTATGGCTTTTTGCGCCGCTGGCCAGACTTGAAACTGGTAAAACCACAAAAACTTTCAATGGCTAGAGCAAAAAATGCATCCCCTGAAAAATTGAAAGCTTATTTCAAGGAACTGTCCACAATATTAACAAAACATGAATTAGCGGACAAACCAAATCAAATATTCAACATTGACGAAACAGGAATTTCGACTGACCATTCGCCACCCAAAATTGTTTGTGGAAAAGATGTAAACCCTCGATCCATTACGTCTCCACGATCCTCTACTATCACTATTATTGCCGGAGGAAATGCTGCAGGTCATTTTTTACCCCCATTTTATGTTTTCCCGGGTAAAAGATGGAATGCTGACTTCCTAAATGTTGCCATATCTGGATCTTCGGGGGCAATGAGTGATAGTGGCTGGTCAAATGGTAAAATATTTGAACAGTACCTGACGACCCATTTTTTAGAAAATGCCAGGAGACAAAATCAGGACCCTGTTCTCATTCTTTTAGATGGACATCGGTCCCATATTAGTTTAACGTTGACGGACTGGGCACAAAGAAATAACATAATATTATTTGTTCTCCCTCCGCATAGCAGCCATCTGACCCAGCCGTTAGATGTTGGGGTGTTTGGGCCACTAAAAAAAATCTATAACAGAGAATGTGCTGTGTTCTTACAGAAGCACCCAGGGAGAAATATAACCAAGTACGATATTGCAGAGCTCACAGCAACGCCATACCTCAAAGCCATGTGTCCGCAGAACTCAATTTCAGCCTTTAGAAAAACAGGTGTATTTCCAGTTTAATCCCAAAGGCAATCACAGATCAACAGATGGCGCTCATCAATAATTTATGTAGATGCTGATCAACCTCAACTGAATGTAGAGTCGGGAGGGAACCATGCTCCCAAGGTCATCTTGATCATGATCATCCAAGTTCTCAAAGTCGTGATTCTTCACTTCAACAGGAACATGCTACAACACAGCCATTATCCCAGACACGTATATGTAATGATCCCCCTGATTTCTTTAGCAGTCGCAAAATTACAGCAGTCAAAACAGAAAGCAAGAAAAAAAAGAAAATTCATTCCGCCATTCCTAGCTGGCTCTCTTTTGAAGAAAACAAATCAGGATATTCTGAAATCTGCGGAAGGAAAGAAGAAGAAGAAGGTTCTTGAGGACACGCAGCCATCCACATCTGGAGCATCAACAACAGAAGTTAAAAAATCCAAAAAGACGAAGGAATCCGATTATCGAGGATGGTAGTGATTGTGAAGCTCAAAACAGAAGATGAAGTTTGCTGTGTTTGTCAGAGGTGGGAACCAGCGGGGCTGAGAAGCATACCCGGTATTTTGTTTGTCCAATGGGGAAGTGTGACTTCTGTTCCACTAGGACTCATTTAAAATTTTGTACCAATGTAAATAAGTGCTCTCGTACCTCGAGCACATTCAGATGCCCTCACTGTGAGTAATGAAATCAAATGATGTTACTATTAATTTACCTTTCTTATGTCTGGTCAGTTTTGTATGTCTCTTGTCTGATTAAAATTTAATTATATTTCACAAACATTGAATTTAATATCAATTACTGTTACAAGTATTTTTTTTTCAGTTTAATTATTATAATTAAGTTATAAAAATTTCTACTGTAATTTATTATTGTTGTTTGTTTAAATATAATTGTAAAGTTATTGTATATTTACAACAAAATTTTAAAAATAATATACTAAATTATAAAATTTATTATTCTATGAAATAAAACACCAATTTTCGTCAATATCTTTTATTTTTTATAAAGTAATTGTGCCCGAAATAATACGCCATACAAATAACTCAGATTTTGATGACGTACCACGAATCAATGAGACGCTTGATTTTTCAACAGTGGCGTAAACACCGCACATTTTAAGGTGAATTTTGACACAGTTAAGGGATGAAATTACACCAAACTTTTACTAAACAAGAGATTAGATCCTAATATTATCAAATCACAATAAAATAAAGCTGAAAGTTTTGTAAATCCATTTTATTCGATTACGAATCGGTAAGTACCACGAATCCATGAGATACCAGGCTATATAGTGAAAATACATTTATTCTTTGAAAACTCTCTGTTCCTGGATATTAAATAAACTAAATAAGTGCATAGTTATGATGAGCCATAGTGCCTCTACCAAAATTGTGAATTTTATGGCCCCAGGATCAGGAGTTCTGGTGTAAGGGGGGGGGGGGTCTATATATATTATATAGTGTAAATACTTGAATTCTTTGAAGATATTCTTCTCTGCTCCTGGGTATTGAATTTACTAACTAAGTTCTTTGTTATGATGAGCAAGCGTGCTTCTACCAAAATTGTGAATTCGATGGCCCCAGAGTCAGGGGTTCTGGTTTAGGGGGGAGCTCTTTAGATTATATAGTAAAAATACATGAATTCTTTGAAAATCTTCTTCTCTGCTTCTGGGTATTAAATAAACTAAATAAGTGCATAGGTATGATGAGCAAGAGTGCCTCTTCCAATATTGTGAATTTTATGGCCCCAGGGTCAGGGATTCTAATGATAGGGTCGGGCTTTATTGATTATACAATGAAAATACACTAAATTTTTGAAAGTTTTCTTCTCTGCTCCTTGGTATTAAGCAGATGAACTACCTATGTAGTTATGATGAGTAAGGGTCCTAAATCTCCAGAATTGTGAATTTCAAGGCCCCAGGGTCAGGGGTACCATAAAGGAGGGGGGCTGTACTTATTTACTGAAACTGGATGAATTGTTTGAAATCTGCTTCTTGGTATTTATCAAATATTTTTGAAAAGCAAGGGTGCCTTTTAAAAAATTGTGCAATGTGTGATCTAGGCCTAAGGGTCAGGGGTTCATGTGTAATTGGGGCATTACCGATCATGCTGAATATTACTGATTACTTGAAATGCATTTTTTGTTCCCCTACCCTGCCTATGGGTATTAAGTAAACAAACTAAGCAACAGCTAAGTGTATTGTTATGATGATCAATGGTGCCTATTTCAAAATTGTGAATGCCATAGCATCTGGATTAAAACATGAATCAAATTCAATCACTGGAAAGTTGTTGCATAATGCTCAGGTGACCTATAAGGCCCATGGGCCTCTTGTTTTCTTACCGATTTTGTGCACACGATTTCTCGGAAACGGCTCGATCGATTTTCATGGAACTTACAGGACTGATTGAACATCAATCAAACCTGATATATGATTTTTTATTTTTATGACGTCACTTCCGGTGTTGAGATTTACGCAATTTAGTGATTTAAGGGGCACTTTGTCCAGCAGTTTTCTCAAAAGTGCTTTTAGATAAAACGTAAGATTTTCAGCGATATAAACAAGAAATGCTGATGTGACACACACCTTTCTTATTCTCCGGAAGTGCAGCACGTTGGGCTGCTGT